ACTGAACGTGACAGGTTAGCAGTGTGGAACGGGCACACTGGGTGGCATTGCTCTTTATCCTGAATTAATGTGCAGGAGAAACGTTTCAGAGGAAGAATTAAGTGGCCAGCAAGGCAGCAAGTGCCCAGCAAGAGCAACCCAGCACATGTTCTGCGAGGCAGCAGCGCTGCTGCCCTACACCTTGCCTGGGGGCTATTTTCTTAATCCCTGTTATTCTTATTAAAGATTTTGTAAATAGCATTTCCCTTTCCCTGTGATTACCTGGTCTAGGAGGGATTCTCGTTCATCGATGAGCCTTTTCAGCCTGTCTGAAAGATAAGAGTGAAGGTTCAGTGCTGATGTGATCGCGCGGCACGTTCCGGAGCGCATCTGACAGATGTGATGAACCATTAAGGTTAGTGGAACTACTGGTGGAGGGAGTTATGCACGTACCACAGGAAATGAGGCCACAGACAGGGCTGGGAAGGGGCTGCAGCCAGGGGAGGTTATGTCATTCTCACAGAACATGCTTGTCACGGCAGTAGCTGCATGCAAAGAGGCTAATCTTCTACGTTAGGTTAGCATGCAAGAACTCTAGGGTCAAACACAACTGCAACACAAAATCTCACAAATCTTTACAGTTTAGCACAATGAAAATACTGTAAAAACCTATAATCATAGCTAAGCACGTTCTCAGCACTTTAGATCTTCCCTTCTTTTACATGGCAATGACATTTTGTCTTCAATATTATAACCAGAAAAACATTTGCCCATCAAATTCTTTGTGTTTTGAATGCAGCAGTCTGGTAAAACCTTCTTTTCTCTTCACAGTCAATTCTCCATGTCAGACATCAAGAGGCCATGGGCAGTCTGGGCCAGCTGTTGTGCTACACTTACACTTGGAAGTGCTACACAGTCAGCACATGGATATGTGTGGCTTTCATTAATGAAGACCACTCTACAGACTGAGACAACTGGAAAAAAGAACTACAAATTAAGTGACCAAATTGCTCGTGTTTTTTCCTTCCCTGTTAAGGGGCGCAAAACATGAAAGCATTTTATCAGGTACTCACACATTCTCTTATCACTAAAATTATCTCATTAATTAGCAACCTCTGTTCAGGTACACCTCAAGCAGAAGTGCACTGGAACATAGCACTCAAATGCACTTCTTAGAAGAGGCTCTGTTGACCTCAGCCGAGTCTTAGTCCCCAGGTCTGACGTGGGTGTTTACTGCAGGTTTATTTAGCCTGCCTCCCTTGCCAGCAGGCAGCCACCTGGGCAGAACCCAGGGTGTTCAGAGCTCAACTCCACAGCTAAGGTCTTTCAAATGGTTAAAATCCAAAGGTCACTCAAGAAAAAGGTCTTTTTGTAAACTTAAGGAAAGCAAATTGACAAATTACAGGTAAGAGCCTGGTGGGCTTTTACCAGGTAAATTCTGTTGACAGTGTGACTTAAATGTTTTTGAAGAGCTTTAAAAATGCCAGTCCTCCTTTGTCCTTAAATCCTGAACAGGCCAAAGTCTTGTGGTTCTTGTGGTTCTCCCTTTTTTCTTGTTAGCACGCCCAGTTAAAGGGAATAAAGAGTCTGCATTTAATCAAATCATGGGGAAAACTGGTTTTCAAATGAAAGTCCCTCTGTGCAGCAGACATATACAGTCCATTAGCTAGCAATAATGTGGTATGTCATTCCCCTCCTGGCTATACAAATTCCCATACCCCAGCAGTCATACCAGAGCATGGAATAAAACCTTTACCTTGGCTTCTGATGCAATACCCCAATACAGATCTTAACGTGACATCCCAGTGCAGCTACTCTGTGCCACCATTTTAATCCTTCTCAAGTCCTATCTTTTTTTTTTTACTCAACTGTTACACCTGAGCATTTCTATGGAAAAACAAAATAAACAAAACCAACAGAAACCTCACATTTTCATCAACCATCAAGAGTAACCAAAATTTACAGGTATAAACCCCTTCAAAATAATACTTTCACAGATCTATATGGGAAGGAAAGGAAGCTTACAGAAATTCTGCAAAAGATGAAAGATAAAGAAAAATAAAGGACAATGAAGAAAAGAAGAAGAGCAAACAGTAAAAGACAGGTTGAAGATACTAGGAGATAGTTTTGTGACTCACAGGTCAGCAAAGATTGAGAAGTGGAGTTCTAAGGACTGGAAGGAGAACGAGGACTGAGGCAGCAGGAAAACTCTGGGCCACTACAAAATTAGCCCAAACTTATTGACTCTAAAGGAGCCAAATAATCCACCTTGATCCTGAAAATAATTTAGTTGTAACTTTCATTAACACAGCCACTGCTGTGGGGTGAAACACACCTGCCTGAAGAAAGGACACCTCCTCCAGCTTCCAGGAAGGAAGCATATCAGCTTCCCCCCAGCCCCTTCCCTGCAAAATGGATGTTAGCACTTTGGGATGAACCTTCAAATCCAATCTCACCATCAGTCCTCTCTTCCTTCATTATGGACATCTGTGCACCCCTCTGGGACATGCTGACAGCAGGATTTACAGGACCAGGGAGAAAATTAGTCTGGAAAATTGCTTTTTCTGTAGGAAAGTTTTCTAGCCATAGAGATGAAGGTCTTTGAGATTTCATTTATCTTTTAAACCCCCATGCTAACACAGAAAACTTACTTTATCTTTGCTATCTCTGCAGTCACCTTAATTTTGCATTTAGGAGACATTTTTCCAACAAATCAAGGATCTGAGGACTTTGAGAGCAGGTGAGCAGGAAAGAGCAATTTCCTGAATTAGGACACTGAAGCAGCTAATTGAAATTCCTATCTGTAACAGTCATTATCCTTATTTCACGTACAAAGATACTAGAATGAATAATTAGAGTGTGACATTCACCTCACTTCACTTTGGAAAACATGATTCCCAGGATACTCACTGCACCAGTTCATGGCTTTCACACACATAGGAGTTTAACAGAGGACTGAAGGAGGAATGGGGCCTGTGCGGGAGCAGGACACAGGGGGGTGATGGTGACCAGTGTCTTCTGCTATGGTTTGTGAATGAAATGACTGTTCTCATTGCCTTGGCACTGCAGGTGACCCGAGGCACTGCTAACTGGGGTGCTGCTTCAGTGGCACCATTGACCAAACATCCTCAAATCAGCCACAGATCCTCCATGGCTCTTCCCACTTGGAGGGATGGGATGGAGCTTCCCATGGGATGGGAAGGAGCTGTTTTTATCTGCACGACTTACATGATGTGTGGCCCACAAAGTAGTTAATCATTATGCAAATGAAAGATAAATTCTACTTAGAGGATGGAAAGACATTCCATGAAATCACAGCAGCAGCCCCAAGCAACTGTTCTGAACAGCCTGCAGGAATACCACTCTGGGATCATTAGCAGGTTAGACAATACTCCTTTCTCCAGATCTGTCCATTTATTTGGATCATGAGAAAACAACATAAAATACTGAGAAATGCCTTCCTGTCTTTCTCAGAAGAGGGATACTGTTGGGGACAGCACAGGATTTGGAAAACACCAGCTTGCAATACTGATTTTGAAGGGAACAGGAGGACTGTTCTTTTCTGTAGTAAAGGAAATATTGACAAAGACCATTTCATTATTTTTGTTTCCTTTTTCATCAGGTACTTTTCTTCAGCTACTGCTTTTGAAAGCATTTCAGGCTAGCTCTGAACGTGCAGTTATGCACGAACCGAGGCTCCAGGCTACACGTGGCACTAGGTGTTGAACAGAAAACCCAGCAAACATTTGGGGCTATTCTGAAAGACAAAAGTCTCATCCTTGGGTCACATACTCATATTTGAAAGTCAAAACCACCAAAGAAAGTGACAAGCCAGGTGTTTTCTTCCATCTGTTACCTGTTGCAGGGGAAATGCCAAAAACTGTTTTCAATTGTGTAACTTCACAAGAGATGCATTTTCTAGGTAATTCCTCCTGAGACACTGCCTCCTCTCCCCCTCTAATGACACACATTTCACTCAATGCTGGCTGACATAAAATGCTGAAATTATTAAGTTTTGAATATAACATCTAGTAGTTCCCTTTACCATCAAGGTACTTTACCTGGGAGACCTCCTCCTCTCCCTCGATGTGCAAATAAATACTCAAGCAAAACCAAAGAGGTAAAACAATACCGTGACCTCCTCTTCCACGGTACTTGCCCAATTCCAGACGTCAGGGACCAGGTGCCAACAGAAGTAACAAGCAGCTAATGTTCCAGGATGGATTTCTGGCACATCAGCTACTCTGCACTGCCTGTCCATGTTCTTGCTCCTGCCCTATTTCCACTGAGAGTGCGATAAAAGCTGGTATGTGGACAGGCAAGACTGGAGTTGTTTCTCCTTCTGTGACCTGGCTCTAAAAAGGAATTATCTTACAGATGCTTTGTTTTATGAAGTTAAAAAACTCATTAAAAATCAGCTCATCAGTGATTCCCTCAACCACCCAGACACCTTTCGATTAGAAATCAACTTGGATAAAAAATCCAGGAAATTAGCATGTGGCTAATTTAACTCAGGTAGATCCATCCACATGTACAGGTGAAGCCTGGGAAGCACATTTAATGATGTATTTAAATGTATTTAACATTTAAAAAGCACTTTCAACATTAAACCAGATATTACTGTTGAGAGTATAGCAGAGCCAAATCTTTAAATAAACACTGCTACATGTTAATAAGAAATGCTCTTCAGATCTATGACTTTTTGGATTAGCATTTAGTGTAAACCCTTTAAGAACAACTGCTGATACTTACAGAAACCATGGTGGATCTGCTGTAAGGTGGAGAGAAGCCATATGAAAGGAGTTACAGGGTTACAGACCTGTTAGAGGTTTACAGTTAAGGGTGCCATCATATATTCAAGGTCCTCAAACCCCGGGGCTGCCCCGTCCTAGGAAGATCGCTCTTCCAGCTACGTAGCACAACGCAATAAACTGAACAAAGCTGCAGAAAAATGCGTTTGAAATTATACAGATTTAAATAACTATTTATGCAGGTTTAGAAACAGTGCTCTGGACAGGTAATTTAGAGTATAAAATACGTTTATTTAAATTATATACAGCAGCACATTTTGATATACATCTTGAAATTTTGCATTCTGTCTGTACTCTATCAGCTTTGTAACATCAATACAAACTCAGCCTTCCATAGCCCCCACCCCCCTCAATTTGCATTTTCTTGTGACGCTCATTGCTTAAAACAACTTTAAATGAATATTTATGTATGCAAAACATGCTCTTCCTCCCAAGCACTAGCAAAGATGCAAGAAAAAAATACAGCAATGGAGTCCAAGTGTCTAATTTTATGCCAGGAATTCAAAGCAATCCAGCTTTATCAAAAAAGCATGGGGGCTAGTACACAGAACAACAGTCATCTTTGGTCTGATACCCAATAAGAGTTAAGACATGCAAACTTATCTTCTTTCCAGAACAGAGGAGGTAAGATTGTTTCAGAGATAAAAACATTCTTTCAGAATCATAGTTAGCAAAAAATATAATGCAGTAAGCAAATGCAATTTTAGACAAAAATCTTCTTGGAAAAATAGATATTTTATACATTCATATCTAGACAGTACTTAAGAGCAGACCTAAGCACACATTACAGTGTGTATTGACACTTTCTCTGGAAAAAATAAAAAAACCCATGTGAGACATGGTGTGAAAGGCCTATTGTGGTGCAAAGTGCCTAGATGAAGTAAACATGTATATATTTTTTCCTTTCAGCAAACTAAGACCTGTATGTTGCACTTTCTTCAAACTGTATATTGTTCTTCCAAAGTGCTTAGACTAAGCAGATTCACAGTGATCCTACTGTATTTTGGAGTGTGACCATATTAGAAATACACAAAGTGGAATGAAAATATCTTTTTTTTCCATATTAAAAAATAAGATTAGTTCATAGATTTTAATCACTCTGAAAGAAGTTTCAACATCAGTGTGGCTGATCTGATGAGTTCCTTCATGAAGTGTTAATGTACTTACTGCAGATCTAAGCAGAAGTAAGCATGTGCATAAGTTCACAAAGGTCCCATGCACATATGTACATTCAGGACATCTGTCATCTAGCCTAGAATAAAAAAATGCCTACAGAAATTCCTCAGTAGCAGTTATCCACACTAGAGGTATGATAGTCTGCATGGTCAATTTGTGAAGCTCATCTGGTGATAAACTTTTAACCTGAGACACAGCAAAACAAAGCCCACTCATGACTTCTTGTGGCCAGGTATGTCAGCGAATAACTTAATACTTGCATCACTACCACGTACATACATTGCATTATGATGAGTTACCTATAAGGAAAAAGCTGTAAGAGTATTCCTAGGGTCTGGTGTCTTGTGCAAAGTGCATGTTTCTGTCCTGGGACTGGTCACATGGCATGTAACTTGTTCAGGCTTGAGATCCTGAACTTAGGATATTGTACAGTCATCTCTGGATCTACCTCTACCTTTTCTACTACCCTGCAAATCCTCCTTGCTTTCAGCCCTGTTAATGACAGCACTTTCCAAATCCTGTTCCAAAACACTTTCATCCTGTATTTTTTCCACTGAATTAGAATCTGATGCTTTGATTTCATCTTCCATCACATCAGCCTTCTCATCAGCATTCAACAATGCTTCCCCTTGCAAGCACCCTGTTTCTTCAGGCTCATCTTGCTTATGCTGCAAGCTGTTGTCTTTGGTCAAGGCATCTTTGGTTCCCATTTGGTCTGTTCCCTCTCCAGCTTTGTCTGTGTGGGCAGTTTTTCCAACAGCATCATTTGCTCCATCACCCTCTTCTTTCTCTGCTTGAGTTTTCTCTCCATCACATTTTTCATCAGATTCTAGTATTTGATTTGACTCTTCATCAAAATCAAATGCATCGCCGTCATCTTCCAGGCTTTCCTCTGCTTGATCCTCCAATTTAACTTGTTCACTAACTTCTTCATCCTGCTCAGCTTTCTGTGCCAGGGAATTATTTGCACATTCCTCAGAAGCAAGTTCCTCACCATGGTGGTCTGTAAGCTCTAATTCTTGCTCATTTTCTTTCAGTGTTTCTTTATCAGCTTTGTTTTCAGTAGTTACACTAACACCTACACTTGACTCCTCTTTAGATTCATCTTTCTCTTGTTTGACCACCTTCTGCACTTCACCTTCTAAAGGAATATTTTTCTCTGCTTCTGTACTACCTGCTGTTTCTTCACTACACTGAACTGTTTGAACTTCTACCTCTGGCTTTAAATCTTCTACCCATTCTGTCCTACTTTCCTTTCCTTTCTCAGATTCATCCCCTGTTTCCAATTCTGACTCCTTAATTTTATCATCTGAAAGACTTGGGTCTAAACTGGTTTCCTGAGCCGTCACCTCTTTCACAACATCGGTGCCTGGCTGTGCCTGCTGCAGCACACTTCCTTCTACCTCAGGAATACAGCCCTCTGCCTCCACAGATGCCTTATCTTGCTCCCCTGTTTCTGCAGAACCTGAACACTTCTTCAGCTCTTCCACAGATTCTTCCTCCTGTCTGTCCTTCTCAGCTGCAGCATTTTCAAGTTCAGTTTTATCTTGTGTACTTTGTTCCTCTGATGATGCTGAAGGACTGTCCTCTGATGAAACTGGCTGGGTGAATGCCTGATGTCCTCCACATTCCTTTTCAAGTGATTCTGCTGGGACACTCCTTTCACAGGACTCCATCCCCTCCACACCCACAGACTCAGTTTCCCTTGGCTGACCCTCAACTGCGTTCCCAACCTCATTTCCTTCTCCAGCTCTATCCCCTCCTGTTTCCTCAGTTCTTCCATCGGTGCAGTCTTTGCTTTCAACAAGCTTTTCCTCCAAGACATTTGTAACCTTGTTTTCAGCACTTTCTTCTGAGTGCTGGAGTTCCTCTGGAGTGGAACTCTCCACATTTCCCTCTTCCCTAAGCAAGCCTCCCACTGCACCCTCTGGTAGCCCTGCCTGGTTAGAAACCAGCTCACTGCTCTCACTTGTACTGTTGGCTTCTTGACCCATTTCATTATCACTTAGGTCATGGCTAGTTTTAAGATCCTCTTGTTCTTCCTGCTTGGGTGCAGCTTCTCCCAGTTCCTGCTCTGTACCTAAGTCACAAAGCATTTCCTGAGAAGTCTCAGAAATCTGATGGCCTTGCAGAGAGCCCACCTCCGAGTTCTCGTCTGTCCCTGCACTCGAGTCACAGTGTTCAGCCTCTGTACTATCAGGCTGCTGGGCCAGTGTGCCTGTGGGCTCTGTCACCTTTCTCAGATCATCTGTGTCACTACCATTGTTGGAAGAAGTGCTCTCTGACACAGGTTCTGTAAGGCTTTGAGCTTGCTCTGCAAACCTACTATCTGGGAGCATCACTGTTGACAGGGCGTCACGTTCTTCAACCATTTTTTCTGCCTTTGCATTTTCAGCATGCAATGTCTGTACTTCCTGCTCCTCAGACTCCTCTTTGTGTTCCTCATGCTCAGTATTCTGCATGATTTCTCTTTTCCCCACATCCTCCAAAATCTCATTTTTCATCTCCACTTCATTGGCTTTGCCTAAAAGACCATTGAGAAAGTTGAAGGGACCACACCACAGCACTTACCTCCCCATTTAAAACCCGAAAGAGAGAATGAATCAAAGAACAGGTTAATAAGAGATCAGCTTTTGCCAATTACGTGAGGCAAAGCAGCAATTGAATTAGTAAGGGTCTGGAGATTTTGATCAGTGAAACTCACCGCTGCCCTCTCAAAGCAAGAAGTCTCTGGTGCTGGCTTGTGTTTTTGGAAAGGAGATTTATGCTCTTGGCTGTGTGAATTACAGCTTTCGTTGAGGAGGACAACTGTTTGAAGCAGTGCAATTTAACAGCAATACTTGCAGATGTACCTTTAAAGATCGTATTTCCTCAGCAATATTCTCTACAACTTCAGTCCTGACACCCCTCTATGCATGCAGGGGTCTGATGCCATTACAATGAAGTCATGAAGGATTATTCAGTAATATTTTACTTTTAATACCACAAACGGGCATCATCATCAGTGTGCACGACAGACACTGAATGTAAAATCTGATTGGCAAGCAAACGGTTTGGCTGTTCAGCACTCCCAACACAGAGCAGAGCTCAGGTACTCTGTGCCCCTTACAGCCACCCAAAGGGATGGGGACTTCTGTGGTTTTTTGAAAGGTGTTTGGTCTTTTTTTGTTGTAACAATTTTTCTTCCAGCTTATATTTAGAAGCAACAGGTATTAAAACAATAGTGTTTGTGGTTAGTTAGCTTTTGGGTCTATGTTGTACCTATTTCCCCGAAAAAAAAACCAAACAACCAGAATTAGGAGATATAGAAAACATACTGCATTTAAAAATACACCCTTACCTCGGTTTTTGGTGTTCCATATTGTTTCCATACAGAAACTGAGTGAGGAAAAAGCAGCCAAAAGCTCAAAGCAAGAAAACCTGCACTTGGAACAGTTGGCTGCCTGATGCCATTTATGCATGTTCATTTAGAACAAAAAAACCCAACAAACCAAAAATATTACTTCCTTTCCTTACACTAGTACAATAGTTCTCTGAGTGGCCATTCATCACAACTGTGTAAGAAGATTTTTGCCAACCAGATTTCTCCTTCCTAATGCTATCCATGTCAATTATATTCTTTCAATTAAATGTTAATCTAACAAGCTAAAATGTTGAAGTATTAAATTAACTGCTCAATAGTACAGGATTACCAGGGCCAAAGAATTCATCCTTTAGTATGGTGTAATAGTGCCCAGCACTGTTGTTCAAGCAGACACTTCCAGTTCACAGGGATATAAATGAACCAACATACAAGTTCTTTATAGAAAACTAAAATGCTTTTTGTTTCCTTATCAGAATTATCCTGGGACAGCTTTCAAATTCAGGGTTTAAATAGTAATGTGAATGGCTGCTACTTATCTGTAATGTACTGTTTGTATTCTCGTCCTTTGCCGCCTTGGAAGGGAAATGAAGTTTGCCCTTGCTGGAAACTGCACAACATACTAGGAGTGATAATCAATATTAAGCAGAAAAATGCATAGGAAGTGATTTGACAAGTAGCATGCTGCGTGATGTGTTAATTGTCCCACTAACAAATGCCCAAATTCAAGCAAAGATGGATGAATGAATGACAGACAGGCAGGAAGATCTGCAAGGACGTACAGCACTTACCTAGCATCCCCTCCCCTCCTGTCTTTAATGCCTGAGTTGTGCCTGGAACGGTTCTGGAAGAATCCAAGTGTCCTTCGTTATCAAGAATGTCTGATGTCTCCCCATTGGTGGCTACATCAGAGTCAGGGATTATTCCATGTTTCTGTAGAGAAGGGAAAGCAATGCTTTAGAGTCTGCTGCTCAGAAAGAGAGGGATTGTTAAGTGTTCTTGTCCGTGATACTCTGAATAAACAATTGCTTCAATTAAACATGGCTGGAAGTCAGGAAAGAGAACAGATATTGCAGTTCTCAGTTTAGCCATTCTGACAGGAAGCATGTCATCCCAGCTCTTTTTTTTTTAAACAAAAATCTGCAGCATAAAATGTTCCTCAGAGAAGCATCTCCTACAAAAGCAAGTCCTTATTACTCTCGTCTACACTAAGAAGTCACAATCAATAGTAGGGGGAAGGACTTAATATAGAAAATTCCTGAAATGGCAACTTACAGGCAACATGAAAATCAAGTTATTGCTACTGAGGTAGATTTAAATTTTCTGCCAGAATGTACAGGAGAAAAAGGTCAGCAGTTGATTACAAATTTCTTCTATTCCTCTTGCATACCTTCAGTTGCTCCTTCAGCACAAGCACTTCATCTCTAAGGTCATCCCGCTCACTCCTTATGGAATCAAAGAAATCTTTCTGCCTCTCTAGTGCCTGAGTTCCCAACAGAGACAGAGAGCGAGGAGGTGTGAAGAAAGGAAGGTAGACAAGTAAAGGCCATGAAAAGCAAGTGCAAACAAGAATGAGTAGATTTAAGATATTCAGAAACTGATGGAAGGGGCATGGATGAAAAAAGGTCAAGTTTACAGATTACAGGACCGAGTTTACAGACAGAGAGATAAACTCCAAATCCAAGAAATGCACAGCTTATTCAATAACCAGACATTCAGAGCCCAATCCTTCATTAGGGATCCTTCAAATGAGGATCCACGTGTTATTCTTATCTGCTACACAGGTTAATCCATATCCATATTACTTCCACATGCACACTGAACATATGTTAACAGAAGGGCATAGAAGCAGGCCCCCTGGATTTCAGGAGTCTTTTTATTCCATGGGTTACCATCATGGGTGCAGTACATTTCAATTAATTTGAAAGCTGCCACTATGTCACCCTTAGTCTGGGATGCACCATGTGCAAATGCATATTTTGCCACTGACCCCCCCCAATATTTCTATGTAAGTACAAACAGAACCATAAAAAAATTGGACCATTTTCAGTTTCAAGCTGATACGAATTATTGGACGTCACAAGCACGGGCAAGCTGCCAGATTTCTTCCTCCTGTATTCAGAAAGTCTTTCACAGTGTTCAGTTGGAAAAGAAAGCCAGGCTGTTCTTTAAGAGTGGGTTTCCATGTGGCTTTGACAAGGGGTGGTAGGAAGGGATAAGAAGCATGGGAGACTTTCATCCCAATAGCCTATAAATAGCTCTATTACCTCTTTATCCCACTCCAGTTTCTGCTCAGTCCACAGATTAAATCTGAATAAGCGAAAACTCAATGCTGATGGAATTGCATTATAAATAGCACTTCCTTTCTCGATATGGCAAATGCAAATGGTGCAGCACAGCAAATAAACTACCCCTGGTCTGCAATCAGACCAGCTGCTAGATTTTTCTTGGATTTTATGACACTGGCCAAAGACAAAACTTGCTATTTGCTAGTCACACCAAGCAAAGGCACTAAGGAAGGTTTTATTCATGGGGTTTTACAGAAGCAGAATCAGGTGGAGAATGACACTCTGAAGACATTTCAGGAGTTGACAAAGTCCTACCCCTATTTTTTTGTCTTTCCACTCTATTGTCTCCTGAAGGTCGGAAATTTCCCTGACATAGCTCTGCTGTTTCTGTTGCAGCTGTTGGATTTCCTGAGGGACAGGAGCAAAGCAAGAAGACAGAAAGCAGGTAACAGGTTAACAAAGAAGGTCAAGATCGCAGTGATGCCAAAGAAAGAAAAAAGTCAGGTGCTAAAGTAAAAAGAGTATCTACATGCACAGCTTCTGACATCTCAACTGAACCTGTGCTCCTGAAGACAATCTTATTATCCACGAGATGACTTAATACAAGTTTTACAGTTCTGTTATTTTCCTCTGCATCTCCACAAACAGCTGTCCAAAATATAATACTTGGGAAGAATGAGATAATGTTTAGGAAAGTACTATTTCCATTAGTCAGCTCCAAACCTGTTTGGCCTGAAACACTAATATTTCTTCAGGTGAGAAACTTGAGTAGGCAATAAAATTCTCCATGCCTCACCTTCTCTGCTTCTAGTGCTTACTGGGAATGTACCAAACAAAGAAACCGTTAAAAAAAAAAGTTACTTACTGCAAGCATTTCTTCCCTTTGCTTCAAAACCTCTTTGATTTCCATGAACTGAAACTGCAATATGCTATGAGCATGCTTCTCCCTCTCAAATTCCTACAAATAATGAAATATTCATGAAATTATTATTAATCAAAAATAGTTTCCCATAAAAAAGGGGGAAACAAGCCCAAACTCAAAGGAAATGCTTACTGCAATGTAATTCTTGAATATCCCTCTAATCACAATCCCACAAGAGTACAATTTTTATCTTATTTGTCCTTTTTCCAAGACCAAATATAGAAGTGACAATCATCATTTAGCCCATTTCATAAGTTGAGCAGCAGGCTGGCAGTGAAGACCTTTTACACTCCAGTCCTACAGACTGAAAGGATGGGAATTTAACCCATTCTTTCCACGTGGCCACATACTAAAAGTTAACTGGACTTATTAAAATAAAAAGAAAAAAACACACTGTATCTTCCATGAACCGTGTTTTGAGGTGCACTGTAGTCAAACGCCATAAGCTAAAAACAGTCAGTTCTGAAAAACTAACCCAAGCCCCAGTTTTATCATTTAACACCAAATCACTAGCTGTCAGATGCTGAATTCATATAAAACTTAATTCAACACTTAACCATGGAGCTGCCTTAACTATCTGAACTGTACAACTCTCCCATGGCCTGTCTGGAGACACCTTTGTGTGTAACAATGCTCCAGAAGTCCCTACAGACAAACCCCCTGAACTTAAAGATGAAACATAAAATAGAGATGTGATAATACCAATATGGCCTTTGCCATCTAAAACATTTCCTCCCTTTTTCAGAAATTGCTTTATAAGACAGAAACTTAGGAAAATTCCCATTTGTAGGACACAAGTACATAATATGCTGCTATTCCACTTGCCTTAGCAGTAATTAAAACAGTAACTTATTCAAAAATTTGAATAGTAATTTGGTTGCCTCCTCACAAAGGTCTCTGCCCACCTCCAAATCTTCCCCTGTTATTTACCATGCCATACATATACATATACATACTTTACTTTTTTCTTCATATTGCCTCCTGGATTCTGCCAGTTGT